TTCTTTTTCCTTGTTATGTCATAATGTCAGAGGTCTCTCCAGAAGGGTGCAGGCGGCAGGACAAGGGTATCTATTGAGGTTGAAGAACAAAATAGGAAAACGTCTACTTATTCATTTATTAGTTAATTCTTTTTAACTTTCCCTTCGGTGTTTTGTTTGCAATATGCATAATTTATTGGTATCATCATAGGACCAGTAAGTTAGAATATAAGTAACTTTTGAAAATAAATTGCTTATGCCCGGATTTATTAGTTGTAGCTTATGATAAAAATTCTGGAGAGCCCTAGTAATAACTAAAAATGGATGAATGTGATTTGAATTGTGAGTCTGAAATACTGTAAAGGAAAGCTTTTTCAGTCTTCCGCTTTACTGAAGAATGCAGATAAAAAAAAACAAAAAACACCTAACAATCTAACACAGTGTCGTGTAGTGTGGTTACTGAGCTTCTAACCACAGGTCTGAGGTTCAAACTTGCCAGCCGCTCCAAGAGAGGAAGAAGCAGCTCTCTGCCCCCTTAGAGATTTACAGTTTCAAAACCCCAAAGGGGCAGTTCTGCTCTGTCCTATAGGTCCGCTGTGCATCCGCATCGACCTGGTGGCAGTGAGAAGGAAAACAAAGGCCCATATACCACACGTTTTCTACAAACAAAAAGCCTCTGAAACTAAACCTGAACATCCTGAGCTTGTTAAATGTGTAAACGGTATGACACCCAGAGAAGCTGATTGCATAGGTCTAGGGTCTAGGGCAGTGTTTCTCAACCCCTTTGGGGGTCAAACGACCCTTTCACAGGGGTTGCCCGATTCATCAGAGTAGCAAAATTACGGTGATGAAGTAGCAATGAAAATAATTTTATGGTTGGGGGCCACTGCAATATGAGGAACTATATGAAAGGGTCGCGGCATGAGGAAGGCTGAGAACCACTGGTCTGGGATGAAGTAAAAGCATTCGTCTCAAGAGATCAGGACAGCGAAACCTCCCAATCTCAATGCTATCGATATTTGGGGCCAGACAACTCTTGGCTCAAAGGGGTTGTCCTGTCTTGCACCTTGTGCGACAGTTAACAGCATATGGCCTCTGCATACTAGATACCAATAGCACCCCACTGTACTTTGCGCTGGGACCCCAGATCAGCGGTCCACAGAGTAAACGTCAGATATCTCAAGGAGAAAAACGTGGCCCTGTTGGAGAACCAGGGATAGAAGCTGTCCAAAGACAACACGCTTGGAGTAACGCCGTTCTTAAACAAAAGGACGGAACAATACGATAGAAGCCTGTGAGACACAACTAGATAGGTACGTGCGTACATTACAAATGGAAATAAACAAGCTTCCCACAAGGAAACCTGATTAGCCACTATAAACTCCTGACAAATCAGCTAGGCTTTTAAATCAAAGCTCTTCTTATGTAATTTCAACTTGAAGATTCTCTCCCTGGCTTCTATTTTAGATTATTTTTAATTAACTTCACCAGCATTTTGCATCCAGCTATGAACAGTCAGCCTAATAGTCGCAGAGGACTTTCCCAGGAGGGAAGAGTGCATTAAATCACACATTATCCCATTAAAGTCGAGCCCAGCATTCAGAACCCACCAGTCTGAACCCTGACAAGTGCAATGGGGGAAGCGGGCAGTGCAGGCACTGGGAAAGCCTCAAGTGATTCACAATATCCAGAGTCTATTATTTCCGATGCACCCAGCGTACCCCTCAAAAGGAAACAGTTGCATTGATTCTCTACTTCAACTACTTTCATCACAAGGACACGCATTTTACAATCCGTGCTGCCACTGATTCCCTAATGACCTACGTGAACCCTTGGTCCCTTACATTTGTTACACCTTCTTTCCCTCATCTAAAAAAGTGAGAAGGCTGGGCTAAATTCTAAGTGCAAATGATAAAATCCCTCTAACTAGACGTTGTGAGTGACAACATTTAACTAAGAGGCTACTTCCCACATAAGGATGAATGTTAAAAGATTACACCAAAGAACAGAGACTGACATTTTTGTGTTACTTGATAAACGTTTTAAGATGTTTACTAAGAAGAAAAAAAGAAAAAGAAAAGACAGCAATTAAAGAAACCACAAACAAAAGGCAAATGAGTCTTTCAGAAGATTGTACAAATGAGATCATTTTAAATCACTTATTTCCGTTCTCATTTCTGTAGCAGCGATCCACCAATCAGTGGCTCAAAAGTAGTTTCATTTAATTAGTTGCCAATTCTTACCGATGATACGGCAGAACTCCAGATATCTAGAGTCTCTTAACACCCTGGGAGATACTAACCTACACAACAACAATTATCTGGAGCCCAGAGGTGTTGCTTTCTGGTCCAGGAGTACACTGGCTGCAGCAAGACCCACTCCTCCCTACAGCATGCCACCCATCCCAGCTCCTTCTCACTGGCGTGGCTCTGATAGCATGTGGCCTTAGGAGCACGCTCTGTAATAAATGCCAAAATATACACAGACACAATTGAATATTTTAAAAGAAATGGTAAAGAGTGGAGAATCACTTTTTTTTAATGGATAAAGGTTTCAAGGAGTCAAAACTGCTAAGGGGAATGGGCTACACTAACATTCTAAGATATGGAACAAACTTTAAACTTGCTGGTGAGTTTGGGCAAGAGAATCTCTAGAAGGAAACCCAACCCTCAAAGTCCAATATCTTTGACTACGAGAATAACAGCTCATTCAAAAACAAATACATGTTTGGCTTTGTTTGCGGGGGGGAAAGGCTTCATCTAACCCCTCCTCTTCCTACAAAGATACTTTCTGTTAACTTTCATGAAGCTATTTTCCCACTGACTTTCTTATACAGAACTTTGACACAATTTCAGTTACCAAAGCAGCCAAATCCTACCAAAGAATGATTCACCTATTCTTCAGAAAGGATGTTAAGGAATCCAGTGACAGATGGAAGATGAAAAAATAAGGAAATTGTGGAATGCTTCAGAGTCGAATGTATTGTGAGCAAAGCTTCTTTTTAAAATAAAAACGAAGGCTGACCAAAACCAACCTAACTATGCGAACCTGCACAGTGAAGCTTCTTCATTCTCTACCTGTCCACACCTCCCCAATATTTTTCTTAAATGCCCATAATGAAATCTGCCCGGTTGGGATAAACTATTTGAAGAAGAGTCTAAGCATTTTCTTGTGGAAAATCCAACTTTATATTACGCTGACAATTTGACAGATGCTTATTTGAAGAAGGTTGGGGGTCAAACTAATTTTTCTAAAAGTCACGTTGCTGAAGCGAATTTTCAGGTGAAACAGGAGCCAAAAGTTTCCAGCCCCATAATGTGTACTTTGTTTAGTTGTGTTTTGGTTTTCCCCCTCCCCCTCCCACAAGGCCTTCTACTTCAGGCCATTCTAGAAACCTGCCTGCCTGCCTGCCTGCCTCGGATCCAACCACGTGAAGCCACAGGGCAGCCCAACACAGGTGCACCAAGCACCTCTGCCAGTTTGTCCCACTGATTTTCTTTGGTTTGTTTTTAAGTAAGCTATGAAAATAAAGATGGGCAATGCAGACATCAACTATTTCCAAATCAAAGCTCTTTTCCCCAGGGTTTAACACTGAGTTCTGACATAAGCAGGGTGCAGCACAGGTGATTCGCAGCTCAAGTGTGAGCATGAGCAGCACATCAGTGAGGCGCTCTGACTACTGAGGGCATGCTGGCGACAGGAAAATGACTGTGTTGACAATGCAATGTGTAGATGCAGCTGCTTCTGAGAATGCATGCGTTTATTATTCTACTCAGATTTCTGTAGCTAATCCTTTCTATTTTCTGTTTAGAAAGCATGAGTCACTCTAAAGACATGAAAAACAGAAAAACAGAGTTCGACATAACAGCTCAGATTGCCAGAACACTTTCTTTTACCCAGGGGTGTTTTCTGCTTTCAGCAAGTGTGGGTTCAACATCAAGTTCACGCCTTCTCTTCCCCCTTACAAAGGATCCACCTCAAGAGGAGCACTGCATTCTAGTTACACAGGGATGGGGGTAGCAGGTATGCTTAAATGTAAGAGCAGAGAGTGGATTTTTGAGTTCTACATCATTTCTTTGATGCCTGAGTCTGAAAATAAAAACTCACTGTCATCCTACCAACTCGGAATCACACTGGACCCTTTAGGGCAGAGAAGAACTGCCCCTGTAGGTTTCTGAGGCTGTAAATCTTTTCCTGGGCAGAGCGCCTCATCTGTCTCCCACAGAGCAGCTAGTGGGTTCGAACTGCCAACCTTGTGGTCAGCAGCCCAACTTAGCCCATCATGCCACCAGAGCTCCTATAACACTATCCAGAAGTCTTTCCATCAGAACTGTCAGCAGGGGGCTGAGAGGGTCAAAATGCATCAGCAAGGCAAGTGATCCCAATTACCAAGGCACACCTGAAGGTTGTTACCACCGCTGGAAGCGTGACCTTGTCGAACTTCCTTACGACCTTGCTATGGAAGTGTCCAGGAAACGGTTTTCTTTTATAGGCTGCACGTGCTCACCCTTCTGAATGAGCACGAAGGAGGTAATTCATCCTTGGACATGTCATGTTTTAGAGGGTGTTTATTTCCAAACAACTGTTATTGAAAATTTATGCATGCGCCATTCCAGAGAAATTGGTCCCAGAAACCTGGATTGACCACGAGAAACAGAAGACAGGCAGAGGGTGCATGCTTGTTCAGAAAGCAAGGCGCCTTCCTGGATCTGCGGAGGCCACAAGATTCCAAGAGTTCCAGGATCAGCTTTAGAACCCGCACACTGGCCTGTTTAGGCCCAGAACGCCATGTGCTGGCGAAAGAAGCCATCCAGCCCTCGGGTTTCTGTGCAGCCCAAGGAAGGGTGGGTAGAGGGGCAGTGGTGGCTCTAGGGCGGGAATCCTGGAGAACTTGCTGGAGGAATGCTAAGGGGCTGAGGGACCAGGTGAGACTGCGCCCTCGCCCCCAATCACCAAGGGGTCAACCAACTGGAAACTGCAAGGACGGAAAGGAAGCCCGCGACGTGCAGGCGCACACTCACCCTGGGCCTGGGCGCCGAGCCCGTCGCCGCCC